GACCTACGGTTTAAATTAGCTTCACACTTTGCTACTGTTAGCAGCAGCTCTACCATTAGCTTCTCTCCTGCTAACATGGACTGTATTTAACATTAGCACAGCCATTGATGTTAGCCATGTCTCATGGTCAGCTAGCATTAGCCAGCTAGCCTGTGCACTGCCTCCACAGTGAGGGTTTAATAAGGACAAAAAATTAATTTTTTAACTTGAACTACACAGAGATGATAAATGAAACATCCCTCCTCGATCTGTCTTCATCCTCTTCCTCTAGCAGGGGTGATGGTCAGGAACTCTCTTCCTGTGAAAAACGGTCACGAAACAGGCAGTAATGAGCCATAATTGATGTTTGGATCAGATCAGACCCTCAGTCTCAATTAATTAATGCAATACTGTGCGCTGAGCAATTTAGTCCTACAGTAAAGAGACTAAAACTGACCCCAGAACAGTAGATTGTGCAGCATTTAACAAAAAAAGAGGACCACCCATGTTCTAGTCTATGACTATTCTTGCTGCGTGTGTGCACCTGATGGCAGACCGACCTGGGTGCAGCTTTGATGATGTTGTCGACCCTCAGGATCATCTCTGCGGCCTCTGAGGCGCTCAGCAGCACCTGGCGCTTCACCTGGAATGACTCGGTGATACCCAGCTCCGCCATGTTGCCCACTGTGCCTTCAGACATGTCTGCAGGGCAAAACACACACAGCCACATTTACACTGAACCAGCTTTCTCATGTGAAGCCTGAGAAAGCAATGAGGTAATACAGTTTAAAGGATGCAGCTGTTGATGTAATTGAGATAGGATTGGCTGCAGGCCTGCTGGCTTAGACTTAGTCTGAGCTAAGTGTTCCTAATGTTAGGTATTTTTAGTCAGATAGATATTGGTTAGATACTTTATGTATTAGAAATGTTTAGTGGAGATAGGATGTCTAGTTAGACTGTTAAATGCTTAGGCATGCTTATGAGTTTCTACAGGGTACATCTGGTCAAGGATACTAGAGAGAAAAGTTGATGACTGTCAGCAGACAGGGTGTTTAATATTATTATTATGACGTGTATAACTGTAGCCTTAGCCATAATATGTTCTTATGTTTAAGTCACGACATGTACTAGAGGTCGTGTGAGAATGTTTTTAGTTACACACCACTTAATCAACAGACACACACACGCACATTGATTTGCTTCATGTTTTGACTACTGCTATGACCAGCTGTAAAGCTGGCACCAGAGACGTCGCGGTTGACGTTTCTGTGTAGTATGGGGCTAGCCCAACCGAGGGGATATAATGTATAGGCCTGGTGGGTTCAGGGTCTTTCATCTGCCTGCGAGCAGTTTGGAGGTGCAAGATACCTGAGCGTGTAATGTTAATTTTACCTGTGATCCTTTGAATAAATCAGCACTGTTTTGAAGTTACTTGGACTGTCTCGTCTCTCAGAGTCAGTATGGTAGCAAGAAGTGGTTAACGGAACACTAACAAACCGACCACTATTTGTGTTGTGTGCAGTGGTAACTCACTCAGTCCAAAGGTGGTCTTGTTCTCCTGGTGTGCAGCTCTCAACTGAGCCACCAGGTCGGCACTGTCGTAGCCGGCGTTGTCGGCGATGATGGTTGGCAGCTGCACAAGGAAACCGGAAAAGGTTTGACAATCAATATTCGCACCTCATCCTCCCCACCTCAGACCCAGCAGCTACTCCCCCGACAATCACCACCCTTCCCTCCAGCCCCCCACCTCTAACGATCTGTGAAAAGGATGTGCGTGGCCTCTTTAAAAGACAAAAGATCAGAAAGGAACCAGGCCCAGATGGTGTGACACCTCCTGCTTGAAAGTGTGCGCTGATCAGCTGGCCCCCATCTTCACATTCATCTTCAACAGGTCACTGGAGCTGTGTGAAGTCCCCTCCTGCTTCAAACGCTCCATCATTCCAGTCCCCAAGAAAACCTCCATCAGTGGACTGAACGACTACAGACCTGTCGCCCTGACATCTGCAGTTATGAAGTGCTTTGATAGATTGGTGTTGGCCCACCTGAAGGACATTGTTGACCCCCTGCTAGACCCCCTGCAGTTTGCCTACCGGGCAAACAGGTCAGTGGACGATGCAGTGAACATGGCAGTGCATTACATCCTGCAACACCTCGACTCCCCAGGGACATATGTATGGGCCCTCTTTGTGGCTCCAGCTTGGCATTCAACACCATCATCCTGGACATCCTCCACTCCAAACTGACCCAGCTCACTGTCCCTGCCCCCACCTGTCAGTGGATTACTAGCTTTCTGACAGACAGGAAGCAGTCTGCTGTTTTCGCTGCATACCAACGATTGCATCTCGAAGGACCCCTCTGTCAAGCTCCTAAAGTTTGCTGATGACACGACGGTCATTGGTCTCATCCGAGACGAGGACAAGTTAGCCTACAGACGGGAGGCTGAGTAGCTGGTCCTGTGGTGTAGCCGCAACAACCTGGAGCTGAACACGCTCAAAACAGTGGAGATGACAGTGGACTTCAGGAAGAGCCCTCCAACCCCACCTTACCCCCCTCACCATACTTGGCAGCACTGTATCAGCAGTAAAGTCCTACAAGTTCCAGGGCTCCACTATCTCCCAGGACCTGAAGTGGACGTCCAACATCAGGACCATCACCAAGAAGGCACAGCAGAGGATGTACTTCCTGCACCAGCTCAGTAAGTTCGACCTGCCCCAGGAGCTGCTGATACAGTTCTACAGAGGAATCATCGAGTCTGTTCTCTGCGCCTCCATCACTGTCTGGTTTAGCTCAGCAACCAAACAGGACAAGTACAGATTTCAGTGGACAGTCAGGACTGGAGAAAACCTCATTGGTGTGAGCCTGCCCTCCATGGAGGACCTGTACACCTGACGGGTCAAAAGGAGGGCAGAGAGGATCACTGCTGACCCCTCACACCCCGGACACAACCTGTTTGAACTCCTGCCCTCTGGACGGCGTTACAGGTAACTGTGCACTAAGACAACCAGGCACAGGGACAGTTTCTTCCCTCAGGCCATCACTCTGATGAACACTTAACCCATGACAGTA